GCGTTTCTGAGACACATTTTCAAGTGTCAGTGCGGCGTGAATCAGGCGAAAAATCTGAACCTTTGGCCAGAGATGTTCATTTTGTCTTTTTATGTACTGTAACTTCTTGGGTTCTTTTTAAAGACAATACAGTAAAGTGTGTTTACCTTGTATTTACCCACACTTTTCAGCTGTACTTTCGTCTGTCCCAGGTCCAGCTTGACGACCTGCTATCCTGCATTGGTGTGCGGATAATCTACACCGGAATGTAGTCCCTGATTGGTTGACACGGTGCATGAAACGCCAAAGGTTCAGTTTAACTTCTTAGGTTATTTTTTAAAGACAATACAGTAAAGTGTATTTACCTTGTTGACATGTTTCGGCTGCAAGCTGCAAGTCATCTTCAGAACTGTCCCCGGTGTTGGTGGTGACGTGTCGTATATCAGCTGTTGTTACTTCCTGTACACGTCAGTCTGATGGACCTGCAGGTCGCTCAGACTGACCACGCCTCCCGTCGCCTGGTGTTCTCTGGAGGAGAGTGTCCCAGGTGTGTGAAAGGAGGAACGCTCCGTCATCACGGTTAATGCTGTCCGTGCCTCGTTTCCTGATTTCACTGTCCTCCCTGATCCAGCATTTGAACTTGTTGCTTTCCGATCCAATTACCTGAGCCCCGTCCCGATCCATAATGTGGTTATTTCAGTTAAATAATTTCAGAGAGATGAAATAACCACATTATGGATCGGGATGGGGCTCGGGTCCAGGTCCATCAGGCTGACGACACCTACAGGAAGTAACAACAGCTCATATACGACACGTCACCAATCCCGCTGACAGTTCTGAAGATGACTTGCAGCTTGCAGCCAAAACATGTCAACAAGGTAAATACAATTTACTGTATTGTCTTTAAAAAGAACCCAAGAAGTTAAACTGAACTTTTGGTGTTTGATGCACTGCGTCAACCAATCAAGGACTATGCTCCAGTGTAGATTATCCATGCACCAATGCGGGACAGCAGGTCGTCAAACTGGACCTGAGACAGACAAAAGTACCGCTGAAAAGTGGTGGTCGTTTCAGACGGAGCTCCTGGAGATAAACTCGGAACGCCTCTGAATTATGTCATGTACCCAGACACACTGCCATGGATGTTTTTGATGAGGGACATTTAAAAATGTGTATATACTAATCAAGTCATGATAATATGTAATTTATTAAACACATGTTGATTGAACATAGGCTGATTCATCAGCTGGTTTCACTCTGTAGAAACCGTCTGACCTCGCAGTATTCTGATTCGTTTTCTTGACTGTAGACAGGTACATTTTTTATTTAACCAATCACTGCTGTTTGGTCATGACGTATGTAATGCACTAAATCCCGTAGGAAGAAGGGCAATAGTGTCTTTCCGATTGATAGAATTCACCAAACATTCTCTTTGTTCCGGCTTTAAATCCTCGATCTCGGGAATCGTTGCCAACACAGAATGTCTGTCTTCGTCTACATCCATCTCAACCGCTTTGTTTACTGTTGTGCTTGTACCACAAAAGGGACCCAGACAGGCGCTTGAGTCTGATGTCATGGTTTCACTGCTCTTCGTTGATTGGTCAGTGCTACAACTTCCAGGATTCTTGCAAACCGTCCAGTGTATTCCAATTCCTGACCTAGTCGCTAGAGAGAAATGAAATTGAGCGGAGGCACTAGGTGGTGCCAGCTTGTCAAGACAGAACCAGCCAGCAACTGAACTTTTTCAAAAACATTTAATGGTTAGCAGTGATCCGAAGTTATTCCTCACTCACCCTATGCATTTGGAACATCCTAATTATTCAGTGACGAGGTTATAAACACTTTTCTCAGTTTTCAGAGGCCAGAGCAGAGGTTTGCCGAGATGATAGAGATAAAACTGAGCATGCATCACACAACAAACAACACACAGATCTAAAAAAAAAAAAAAAAAAAACTTTATTGGGTAGGATGTTAACTGTGCACTTTCTGATTACAAGGCCAATCAATTGTTTTATAGTTGGATGCAGACAGTACACAGCTGACTTGGTTTGACCTTAACACTGCTCATACAAAATATCTGAACTGGGAAAAAAAAAAAAAGTCAGGTACTCATCCTTGAGCGCTGTTTTGCCTCATCAAATCCCAACTCTGTTACTAAATAAACAGCCTCTAGTTTCTTGATTTTAGGTTAGTTATCTCAGATCAGAACAGCCTAGCCCCAAAAGTGAATTCAAAATGGGGGCTATGCAAAGGGGGGTTAGTGGGAAAGTATTGGAGAAATTCTGAACCAACTCTGATCAAATAAAGTACAGAGGAGTTGTCTTCAAAGTGCTATGCTAATGACGTTTCACAAGTCCCACGCTCTGCTCCGCGCCCAGAATATGCACCAATCACACGCCGCCCAAGGACCCTAATGGATGATTTATCGATACACTCAGGACTTTCTCTCAGGCAAAGTTTGTTTAATGTGGAGGCTGGAAGAACTGAACCAAGTTGTTGATTTTGTCAAACCAACTAGAGCATCAGCATCGAACACCATGTCTATTCATTTTTACCAAGAGCGTAGAATTTTCACTTTTATTTATGTTCTGTTCGTCGTTTGTTCTCTTATTCGAAAGTTGGTGGATCAAATCCTCAACGCTCTCTCAGATCCATTGGAGCGTAGGTTGATGTGATTCCATCTTTCACAGAAGACTGGTGCTGTTGTGTCCTTGGGCAAGACACTTAACCTTCCTCTCCCCGAGTATTTGCATTCAAATGTGTGTGAATGGGTGAGAGGTTCCTTAATAAAAGTGCTTCAGTGTGGAAAATCATTATATAAATGTGCCCATTTCACCATTTACATACATAATACAGGCATGAAAATAGATTTTTTGTGGGGGCACGGGAGGGTTTTTAACTTTCTTTAGAAATGTTTAAAAAAAAATAAGAACTAACTATAAATACAAGAAATTAAAGAGCTATATTTTGACTCCTGTGTCCTTTTTAAATATGTTGGGACTCACCTTTTGGGGTCATAACAAGGGGTGGAAAAGGTGCACTAGTGCTTTAATCAAGGCCTCACTAATCGAAACCAAGACCTGTCCGAGACCACAGGGCCCCGAAACCAGACCAAGACCTCTGAGCGTCGAGACAGAGACCACAGCCCATCGAGACCAAATCAAGATCATCTTTGTCATTTTCTACACTTACATTTTAGTTATTTTGCTACATATATATATATATATATATATATATATATATATATATATATATATATATATATATATATTATATATATTTATGTTTCATAAATCTATCCCCATTTGAGCTGATAAATGTTCATTTAGGCATAAAATAAGCCAAGCAAACTGTACTGCACTTAAATACTCTGTGCACCTTTTTTGGACCCTCACCCAGTTTTCTCAAACTTCTTTAAGAGAACTTCCACCTGCACTTTACAGAAAACTGAAAAAAAGTGAAGAAAGTGGGGAGAATTTTTAAACCTTTTTTTTCATTCCTAACTGGAGTTACATTCTCTTACTGGTTTTGCAGTGGGATTTAGCAGTCTCAGCACATTTACGAAGACAAACACATATTTATTTGGCAAACTTCAGCCCACGTCGCAGTAGGTCTGCTCTGCCGACACTGTAGCATACATTTAAAGGAGCAGTGCGCTGACGAGGCCGACGTACAGGTAGAAAGTTTTAAAACAAACCTGCATACAAACTTACAACCTACAAACCTAAACTTTTCTCATTGGATCTACATGATTCACGTAGGTCACCTGTTTTGGCTTCAAAACAGCGAATTTTGCCAAAAAGTGAAAGATTTTCATGCCTGATAATAACATACTGTACCTTTAAACTTATTCTGGTCACTGTTTGTACTCGAGTAATTGGGCCAAAACCACAGTGGGACAGAGACTGGACCAATCACAGAGCAGCATTGTGGTTTGGGCTGAAGCCAAAGGTGAAGTGCCCAAATAAACCAAATCAAATGAGGCATATTTTATATTTTAGCAGAAATAAAGAAAGTAAATTGTGCATGTTCTTCATTTTTGTTACAGAAACTGGGATTTCTCCAGTTGTTCCAGTGTTGTGACACCTTTAAGTATCTGTAGAATGTCCCGTCTTTCAGTAGATTTGATTAGATTGTAATCCTTAAAGATGCATTAACTTTTCTGCCATCTGCTTGTCTCCATAGTGATATTAATGCTTTAACTGGAATTTTCCACTGTATGGCATTAAATGTATCTATCATCACTTAATTTACACTAGTTTTGGATGGATGGATGGATGAATGTATGTATGTATGTATGTATGTATGTATGTATGTATGTATGTATGATGTATGTATGTATGTATGTATGTATGTATGTATGTATGTATGTATGTATGTATGTATGTATGGTATGTATGTATGTATGTATGTATGTATGTATGTATGTATGTATGTATATGTATGTATGTATGTATGTATGTATGTATGTATGTATGTATGTATGTATGTATGTATGTATGTATGTATGTATGTATGTATGTATGTATGTATGTATGTATGTATGTATGTATGTATGTATGTATGTATGTATGTATGTATGTATGTATTAAAACTATATCTAAAAAATCCCTTGAATAAGAGGATTCTCACTGTGAACAGGGTTGCCTTTTGACAGATCTGACCTGTAACACGGTCTGTTGTCTCTGTGGTGATAGATACGATGTTTAATGCCATACTGAGGAACATTCCAGGCAACGCAATAAGATCTCCTTGGAAACAAGCAGGTGGCAGATGTTGCACAGTTCACATTTATTTCATATTTGAACATCATTAAAAAATATTCAAGGATAAAGTCGGAATAAAAATGCGGCGTTCTCCACAAAAAGTCAAAGCAGCAACCGTATCCATGGTATTATGATCCACAGTAGCAATAATCAAAATGTTCTTTTCAAATAATGAAGGCATTCAAGTTAGCTTTAGTGACAACTCTAGCTCTTTTCAAAACATACTCGCCAACCTTGAGTGTAACTTCTGTAGTAATGGAAGGTCAAGACTCACTATTCACTTGAACTAACAGCGAACAAGATGAAAAAGCGCTGAAAACTGGAAACAAAACCTTTTATTTTCACAAAAAAGTTGTTTCTTCTACACCTACGTCCGACATTTTTTGTGCTAAAAGAAATCATACATGTTTTAAGTGCATTTAATAACATAAAAACAACATGACAGAGAGGAGAAAAGCTGACATAAAAATGGAAAACACAAATAGCAACGAAAAAACAAGAATAATTGAAAAGATAAGCAGGATTCCTTTTAAAAGTTACAGCACAGATAATGAGGGGGACGGAGATGTGAGAAACTAGCCTGAACCAAAACCAAATTAAATTATGTTAAAGAGACAAAAATCAGCATTTATTGTTAACAGTAAGGTTTAAAGTGTGGCTTTAGTCGGAAAAAGGCACATTTTGTCATTAAGCAGCAGACCAGGTAGGCTATAAAAGGATAATTACAGAATGTTTACAAAAAAATTACAAGAAAATTTTGATTCAATAAAAAATTGTACTTCAAATATTTACTACTATAGTAAAAAAAAAAAAAAACTAACTCTGATGCTTTTTGTGGTATAAAGTACAAAGTAAATTTAGTTATAAGAAGTGAGCAAAATGTTGAAACTAAAATGTCAGGATCTCGATAAACACAACGAAGCTTAATACTGTTTTTAAGAAGTGTGTTCTTCTACTGGGACTTCATACTTCATTATGATTGGTTAAACCCACCTGTCACTCACTCCAAATCTGACAGAGCTGACCAATAGGAGGAGAGATTTAATTTAACCAACAACCAATATATTGTTTATCGTAATAATTGTGATAAAATGGATTATTAAAGACGCACTGTCACTTTTCTGGTGGGGTCGAACCACTTCTTGTCTCCATGGAGTTGTTAATGCTTTGCTTGGAAGGTTCCACAGTATGGCATTAGATATGTCCATCTTGCGTTTGCTAGAAATTAGTTTGAGCGTGCTTGCCTCTCCACAGATCTGACCATGGAGACAAATACGTTTAATGTCACACTATTGAACATTACATAACATTGGAGACCCGCAAGTGGCAGATCAGACTATACCAGAAAAGTTACATAGTGCGGCTTTAAATACTACTCTATATCAGGGGTATAATGATAAGTCTCACGATACGATACTGTCATCGTATGAACCTCACACTACAATATTTATTGTGGGGAGGCTCACGAGTAGGGATCTAACAATATCCAAATCTCTCTGTACGATATTTTCACGATATACATTTCACAGTACCATATTTATTGCAATATTTTGTGGAGGCCAATATGCTACTTTTTCCTCTTAAAATGCCTTGACAAGACTTAATCCAAAGTACTAAGACTTAAAAGTGCTTAGAACTGTTATTTCTTCTTATAGTCTGCATTGAAATGGAGCAAAGGATCATGGTCTATGTAGTTCTCTGTTGTTTGTCTTCTATTGCTACACCATATCTCTTAATTTACGCAAAGAGACTTGTGATTCGATATATTGTGATGGTCCACGATATTATTGTGAGAACTTTGACGATACGATATCACAATATTTTGGTTATTGTTACATCCCTTCTCTATAGTCATGTTATACACGGAGGAGTTTGAGATCTAACAAGCAAAATAAACGCACAAATCCTACCCTTGCTGTTTTGAATGCACACAGAGTATCCACGTGTTGACATATTTATTCCACAATTACCAAACGGAAAATTATCAGACTGTGCATTACCATAAATGTGTTTTTATGTTTCTAACTCCAGCGCACGCACACTGTTGGCCGCTGCTCTCCAGACTAAAGCCACTGTAAAACTCTTCACCTCTACCATAAAGATACTTGGACCATCACTTTAAATATGAGCTTTATAAAAGCTGGACACTACTTTAAGACAGTGGGTTAATCATAATAAACATATTATGAATAATATATAAAGACTAGACCTACATTAAAACAAGTATAAATGTCAGTTATAATATATGGAGCTCTCTCTCACCGCGCTGCATAAAAACGAGAGAACCAACGCAAAAAGGCCATTCGCTGCCCCAGACCTTCCGAGGCATCCGTGGCCAAAACAATACAGATGTGTAACCAGGGACTAGCTCCAAAAAAAAGTCGCCCAGAGATTAGTTCCCATAGCAACTGGACAAACACGAGCCTTTATTCAGTGGAACCGAAAGTAACACAGCAATTCAGACTTGCCCGAATAAATTACGGCGCTGGCAACTTTTCTGGAGCTGCCCCCAGGCGTCAAATCCTACCACCAAGAGTTAGTGTGGTTAAAGATGCACTGTGTAACTTTTCGGGTGGAAGGTCCTTCGCGTGTTGCTTGCTTTGCCTGGAACGTTCCACAATATGGCATATATTTGTATTTATTCCCAAAAATATTCGGTCCAAAAGAGTTGTTAAGCGATTATGTTAATTCCGGGTCCAACCAGAAGCTTTGTTTTTGTTCCTTTTTCATCAAACTAGAAACAATTGCCTTTCAAAAGTGTACGTTTAACCACAAATCGTATCAAATGTATGTAAATTTGATCATTTTATAACTTTATCACAGCTAACTACTGATCTATGCTTATAACCTCACTAAATTTAAACAACTGCACTCACTTTTTAACGTTTAAAGAGTAAATTGTGAACATATCCACTGTTTTTAATCGGCTAATGGAAGTGACATCAAATTTAACTCTCTAATCACCTGCTTTGTCAAGTCATTTTGTGGAACATTCCAGGTAAAACATCATCATCTTCATTTGAGATAAGGTGGTTTGGGACCCTCCACCTTAAAACGTACACAGTGCCGTCACAAATATCCTTCATTTAAAAAAAAAAAAAAAGGCAGCAATATTTACACATTTGGGCCTGAGAACGTAATGCCGTACCATTCCAGCCGCACAGTCCCACCTGTACAAAAGTCCTTATATGGAACATGATGGATAGCATCTCCATACACGGCCTTATTTCAGTGCATTTTTCCCCTGTGCTGAAGCGGGGTTTCTGCAGTCCTTATGTTGCATTCTGGGTTTGTAAAGTCCTCTCAGAGTCAGAATGTTCAGATCAAGTGCGTACTCGATCGGCTGAACGTGTGGTACCTCCTCTCGAACATAGAAGGTAGATGGACCATGGACGGGGAATGGTGGCGAACCTAGGACACACAGAAAGAAGAGAAGAGAAATCAAATTTAAAAGGAAATTATTTCTTAAAAGTATTAATTACGCTTTGTTGGTCAAATTCTGTTTCAAAGGAGACAGAGGAAAGGATAGAAGAGATTCAAGGTTCCCACGCTGAATTGCATTTGAAAATTTTAAACTCAAAATAAAATTGTACAAGTTAATATGATGGGAACATTACTTCAGGTTTTGACTGGCTTTTAAAACACTATCATTAAAAAAAACCTCTTTGATTGGTCCTTTCCATTGTGAATTCAATGTTGGCAGAAATTGCAATATTTAATATTTTCAGAGCGGCCTTCAACCTTTAAATATACCTTGGGACTTGCACAATAAAGTTATAAAGTCATTAAATAATCAAATTTAAATTTAAGAAACCGTTTATCACTGTGCCTTTCTCTATTTCAAATGTTTCAAATGAACTGCTATACAGTAGTGATGGGCAAATGAGACGGAGCTCCGGAGCACGTCTCGTTCTTTCTGAAACAAATTGCTCCGAAGCACTGCCTCGGAGCTCGTCTCGCAGCAGCCGCTCACGTGACCAAAGTGTCGAAGTGTCGGTCCCTCCCCCTACTGCTTCACTCTGCCTGTCAATCACTTCAGTGTATCGAAGCGTTTCATTGGCTCAGCGAATGTTCCGCTCTGCGATTGGTTCAGAGCTTCAGAGTGTTCAGCGCACTTCCGTGGTTTGACAAGCACTGAACAGTATAAAAGATGCACCAATATTTCTTAAAAATGTTGGGTAGTGAGGAGTATTGTGTGACGTTAGTGGTGATTTTGGAGACTTTTGGCATTTGTTTCATTTTCGATGGCATTTACAAAAGGAAAAAAAGCGATCCATGGTTTGGGATCACTTTGATCTAATTCCACCTAACACGGTAACCTATTTTCTTATTTACAGCTGCTATTTATGTTGCTCTTTACGTATTATTTTAAATCATCATTATTATTGTTGTTGTTAGGTACGGTGTATACAAAAGTATTGTCTTACACTAACAATACTTCATCGATGCTGAGACACCTGCATGCCAATGGTTAAATTTGTCCACTCGAAGTCAGTGTTTCTCCAAGGCCTCAGAGACGTCGAACCATTTGAGACAATATTGCGACTGAGGTGTCAATGCTTCACGAGGCTCCATTCGCCCATCACAAGTATACAGAAATCCAATCAATTATAAAGGTTTGCTTCACTAACACCAGCAAATGTTGGATTTTTGGGCTGAGCAATAATAAAAAAAAAAAGTTCAGATTTTTTAATTTCTTTTTGAGCATTTCTGATTTTCAGTAGTTTTTTTTTTTTTTTTTCAAGAACTAAATAAAAGTGGCTTTCAGAATTAGTTTTGTGCGGAGAAACTGACTTTTAAATCATTGGCAAACATTTCCAAGAAAAAAACGTCAAATTCGCAAAGTTTGAACTCGAATGGGTGTGGACTTCTGTAGACATCTGTAGACCCAAGATGATTTCTGTCTTGATTTAAATTTGATTAATTTCCTAGTCCTCTCGATGATTTCAATTTACCCAAGCCACAAGAATAAAAACAGGAGCCACGAGCCGATCAGTAAAAATGTTAAACTGCTTTTTTTGGTCACAAACAGATTTTGACGCTGACAGGACAAGCTTGAATGAAAACCCACGTGAATCTATGTAAATCCGATTCCTTTTCCCCATTGTAATGCGGACGTTTTGACACAGCGAGCATCAAAAGTTCAATGGTGAATAATGAACCGAGCCTTGAGCATCTCCTCTCAGCCGTTTAACTCTGTTCCACACCAGCGGCTGCCGTGTTTCGTCTCGAGCTACGTCTGTGTCATGCAGGCGTTCCTCTCCTGCGAGGAGTTTGAAGGGGAGGACAAAAGGTCAGTCTGCTCGTTCCGCCTCGGTTTAATTACACAAAGACAAAGGTTGTTAGCGGCGCAGACCTCGCCAAACAGTGCAGAGAGCTAATGGAGACAGCGCACCTCTGCCAGACACACAAAAGCTGGACTGAGGGTTTACTCACACAGCGCAAGTCCTGGAGTTTTCAAGAAGACTTCGTAGGAGTTTAAAAAAGTTGCACGACTAGTACGTAACGTTTCTGGTAGGGTTTTGCCATCTCGTCATCTCCATGTTTTTTGATGTTATTGATTTGCTTGGAAAGTTCCTCAGAGTGGCGCTGAATTTTACTTTATTTATTAAATTAGAGATTTTTTGAAGAAAAAAACTCAGTGGGGTTGTCGTTCCACAGAGTTGACTCGTCATATGGTCTGGAGCTATCACCTGCTTGTCTTGAGAGAAGTGGAAGCATTGTTGGGGTTAAATTTCTTTTTGAACATGGTTTTAGTCTACGTTCAGAATGCAGGGCTTAATGCTCAATTTGGAAATTATTTGTGAAATCAGATTTTTTTGCGAGGCCGTTCACAATTAAATGCGACTTGTATGTGATCTCCAGTGTGCACTTTAAATGCCCCAAAAGTGTGTAGCATTGAGCACCTGGTGATTTTAAAGTTGCTGTTGTACCGGAGCCAGCACATATACAGCTTATTTGATTTAAGGAAGAGTTTGAAAAGGACGAGGTTTTTGGCCATGGCGTTTCGTGGGGCAGTGGCAGCAACGTTCGTAGAAAAGAACGTCTGAGTGTGGAGTCGCAGCCAAGAATGGTGGGATTGCGATGCGTTTTTCAGCTTCACTGACACAGAGTTCATATACAATTTTCGTACCACGAGAAGATCGTTTGTGTACATTTGTGACGTGTAGGTGGGACGAATGCGACCTAGCCGTTCAGACTGAAGTCGCATGTCAATAGATTGGATATGTATCGGTTTTAGGAGCACATATATCGAAGTGGCCTGGGTCGCATTTGAAAAAATCGGATCTGTCTCGTTCAGACTGTCATTAAAAGATCAGATACAGGTCGCATAGGGGTGAAAAAATTTAATTTGGGTCTCTTCAGGCTGCAGTCTGAACGCAGCCTTAGTCACCTTGAGAAGCATTTTACATAAAGTAAAATATTGTCTACATTTGGAAAAGACAAACAGTGAACATGACCATGCTTGTAGTATAAAAATGTACTTGTGATAGAGTAAAACAGTCAAAAAAAAGGTCAAAGGCACTCTGCTGGAAATATTATAAAAGTCCTTTATTGGTTGCATGGGATGGGCATCCCATGCAACCAATAAAGTCCTTTACTGCATGAACATCTTCACTGTTTGATAGCTTTTGAGCCTTGTCCTTGAAGAGCACCTGTTCAGTACTTGCAACTAAGAAAAAAATCCCCTGAATGTCTCACCCGTTCTGTGTTTTTATACTTTTTTATTTGGAAAATACTCGTCCTGAGTTTTTATACTTTTTACTTGGAAAACCACAGCTCCAATTCCAAAAAGGCATTTGAGCATCGGAGCTCTCTGGTGTCAACAACGGGAATGAACAAATAAAAAATGATGAAAATGAAATGAGGCCATTAAGCAACGTGACTCTTACGCCCACAGAGTAATGAATTTGCTGTGAACATTATCTGAACACAGAACAAGTCCGGTGATGGTTTATGGGCTTAAAAACTGCACATGAGAAGTCCTTTACGTTACAACTATTTTTACTTATGACGAAACAATCTGAGGAAAATGCCAGTTGAGCATTTTCGAGTGCTCAGAGAAAAGTGCGTTAGATAAATGGATTCATGAAGCAAGTTTGAATGAAGCAAAATAAACCTCCAGGTCTGTTTTTGATTCGGGGAAAACAATATTACGTGACTAAAACATCTATGCGTCCTTTAATGCCATATTGGGGAACTTTCCAAGCAAAGTAATAACATCGCCATAGAGATAACCAGCTTCCACCAAAAATTGTTAGGTATGGAAGCTATAGGATTGTCACAAACTGCTTAGTAGTCTCGCGGTTTGGAAGTTTCTGAAAGATAATTTTTCAGTTCTGACAATTAGCCGAATGTCTCTCCTCACTCTTTACCATATTTCACATTTACTTTGTCCCAGTTCAATAAATGGTCTTCAAAATATGCAGCAAAAAAGGAAGAACTCATCACAGATTTCTCGTCTCCTGTCCTGACCAAAATCCTAACTTAAAATTGGAAAATGGGTCCTTCGGCTCAAATTGAGAGAACACATTTACACAGAGAAGCGTCTTACTACTTCCGAAAGAATATAAAAGAAATAGTGGTAAAGTATTGTAATATTTATGCAAATGTAATAAAATCCTGCTTCTATATTTGTCTTCCCGGCACAGGTCCAACAGAGACATAGCACATTATACTGATTTAATGCTTGCCTACACTAAACTTTACCCAGATGTGGTTTTATTGGAGGAGATAAAGAGGGTCTGATCACTGCGCCGTGACAGCCGCTCTGTTCCTGCCTCAGCCCTATATCAAACCTAAAGAGACGCCGCGGCTAACAGGCTGTGACAGATGTATGCCAACTACGCACTGTACAAGTCTGCAATCGCACACATGCGAACGCTACACTGTACAAACATGCACCGTAAAGCTATGATCAAATCTGGAAGGTGAACCCAAGATGGCGCCGTATTGTTTTCAATGGCCTGTGCTCATTGGCGCTTGGGCCCAAAAATAATTTTCTCTTCTACATTTACTTCGTCAATAGGGGCGAGCTCTTCCTACCTGTGAGACGTCTGTAATGTGCACAGTGTGGAGTGTTTGGTCCAATCAGAGCGAGAGCTGCTAGAGTGGAAATAGGCTAAGTCTTACAAAGCACACTTTTAGGCGCTTTGAGGATTTAAAATTGTTTAAAAGTTTATGTTGTGAACAGTGATGGAGTTTGCAATTTGTTCTTGAGACATGCACATCTTTATTTATTTGAATTAGGGGTGGATTGGAAACTTGTTTTATTAGTTTGGTAGCTCACTAGCCAGAACTGAAAGTAGATTTATTTGTTTGCTAGTACAATTACATTTTTGTTTACATCCATTACATATGATTATTATGATTTTTCTAATGATTATACTTTAAAAGTAAACTACTCTCAT